AAGTAAAGACACCTTTTTGGTGCGATACGTTATGGTACTTGGTGTGGGTCCGTTGGAAATTCAGAGGGGAGCACGGCGACATTTAGGCTGTTAAGCTTACCTTATGGCGTCAAACAAGGAATGTTTGTGTGCTTTTCATCTTTAGTTCGTCTCGTATAACTACTGCCAAATGACAAATCTTTACAGGCTTTATCGTTTAGCTCGAGTATTGAAATCTTTTTGTTACCACTAATATGTGGCCATGGGACATTTATTGTTGGAGAGCAGGGTAGTAAGGAAACTTTTGAAAGATCTTTCTACCTAAAGACCATTGTGAACAGAGTTGACAAATAAATCTTCGCACTCCTGCTCGGGAAGCTGTTAGGATCCACCTTGGAGGAATGACTTTTTCTTGCACTGTCATCTCATGCCGTGTTGTTGTAGAAAATGATGTTTGTTGTTGAAATGTTGAAGTAGATTGTGTTTGAACAAATCTTCCGGCTACTTTTGTCGCAGCAACGACTTTCATTCATGGCACATCTGTTCACATGAGCATTGGGCTTTTTGTAAAGGGTCGTAAGTTTTAACGAATTTTATTTGAAATAGAAAGCGATTCAAAAATGCAAATCGCACAAGAGCCAATGATAATGCTAGGGCATCACTTAAGAATGGCGCGTAGAACACTTGTACTAGTCCTATGCTTCATATGAGAAGACCAGAGGGAAGCGAGCGACCTCGGGCAAAGAATCTGTTGTAGTTTGAATTAGGAGTCTGAACGTAGAGCTGAACAGGAAGTCTGAGGTTGACGATTTTACGGCGCGCAGGCATTTAAGTTCGATGCCTTTAGGAGACATGGCTGAAGTAAGACAAGATCAGAGAATAAGGGGTCGAACTCTATTACGAAGGAGAATACACAAGAAAAATGGCGTGGCCATAGTGTAGTGGGGTTCTTTAAGGCTTACACTTCTGCTGTAGGACAGGATCATCGATAATGCCATAAGAATGATTTGGAACACGAATCAGTGCTGCTGTAAATTACTCTTCGTGTACGTACCTTGATTCGGATGCTCCCAGGCAGTGACAGTGCAGGCTTGGAAAGGGTGCTTGTTGTTGGAGGATTACCAACGAGAAACGCTCAAGAGGTGTTCTACACCTGGCTCAGCTTCCATTCTGGCAGCCTCCTATTGCGTTTTCGAGAGAAGGAAGACCAAGTAGTAGGTGACTTTTAGCCGTGATGATGGGATACATCGATCGGTTGGCACATCCTTCTCTTGGCAGACATTATAATCTTTTCAAGAAATCAAAGGTAAGAGCTAAACAGAGATAACGGTAGTGGAACTTGCACCAACTGAACGACATCTTAAAGATAATGGGAGTTTGTCTCCTAGCTCAACATGGACCACATGGCGAACAGCGAAATTGGCAATGTGGATGAGATCATTTCACGATGTGTTTGTACTGGGTGAGACGTAGGGTGGAATCAGAGAAGAGCTTTGCCTTCCTCAACCTCGAAGGAGCATGCGACCGTCGAGGAGCATGAGAGCAAAAGAAGGCATGGAAAGCACCTAGAGAACGAGACGTTCTAGAACATCTGATTTCCCTGATGATAGATATGTGAGAGGCAGCAATACGCAGGGCCATTGGAAAGAGTTGGGCATTACTGGTGGGGTACACCAAGGATCAATTCTGAGGCTGCTCTTCTTGTTGCTGGCACGGAATGTCATGGTGAAGGGCTCAATGAAGGAAGCACTCAAACCATCATCTACCGCTGGCGAAATCGCCCTGACAGCGCGGAAAAACTTTAGGGCAACATGCCGAAACTATGCAAGTGCTGACAAAACTCGCCGCCGGAATGTTTTTTTTTCTAAAGGCAAACTAAGTTTCCTAAGCCTCTGAAGATCGCACAAAAGCCGAGCCAGGCGGCAGGAGCAAATCCTGCAACCTTACCTTGAGAGCTATCTAGCCCCTGACGGTAGCGTGGACCATAAAGTAAAGGCACGGATCAACAAACCCGCCAGGTTGGAATGGAGGGAATTCACTGGAATCTTCTGCGATCATGAGTGCTCCACAACATGGTCTGCGAAGCTACAGGTAGCAAGTGCTGGGCCCTGAACAGAGGAAGCTACACAAGAATACTTGTTCATGAACAAAGCTTCGACTCTCAGGCGGGACTCAAATCCACAGCTCTCGCTTACCAGGCAAGTGCGACAAGTTACGCTACCGGGGCACCATTTCGCCCTAACTGTGCACACTTCATTAAAAGTTCGCGGTGTCGTGAATTTATGCGCTTGTCTGGTAAGCGAGTGATGTGGGTTCAGTTCCCGTGGGGCAAAAGATTTTTCATAGCCCAGTATTCTTATGAAACGTACAGTACATAAGACGAACTGTGACAAAAACAGCAGTTAACAAACAAAAACAAGAGGTAGCTTCTCCATAGGGAAATGCTTAAAAACCGAAGATGGCGTTGAAATAACCTCCAGCGAGTTCATCGCTCCTTGAAAACAACACTTCAGCATTTGGCATGGCAACACCCCACTTGTTAACGAAGGTGTGTAGACCGCAAAGATTTTGTTTCGATTCAGAACATTTAATTCGAGCGGAGGCATATGTGATATAGCTAAAGGCGCGCAGGACCTGTCTAGAAGGCCTAACATTTTTCTGGGCTGCTTACTATTGGGAGAACTGTGCTCTCTGCCTACGTTGGCCAAAAAAGATTAGCTAAGTTGAGGGATGAAGAGGACAAGCGAAGCAGAAGTGTAAAAATAAAACACATAGTAGTACGGGTATCACCGAATATGTAGAACAGGTTTTGGGATGGTGCCACCAAGTCTGGTTGCGGTTAACACTTCGATATGGCTTAGCCGCTGCCCGTCCATGAGCGAACAGGAACGGTCAGAGGGCGTCCCGTTTCTTGAAGGATTTCCCTGCCACAGGTTGCCCAGAATGTACTCCTCTGAACCACCAAGGAATCTACCGTAAGCGCTGTGCCTTCTTAAAGGCCTCCTCGATTGACGATTCTGCAAACACTCAACATTGGAAACCTCTGGATGAATGCCTCTATGACCACTAACTTTTCAACCAAATATGATGCCACGTATATGATATCCTTTAATGCTTTGCAAATATTTTGAAACCGTTCTGCCACTATGACGCCGAAAAGGCGGCACAAAACGAACACATTGAATTTTAAGGAGGGAAACCAGGTGAATTAATCAATTGGTCATCTTAGGGCAAAACATCTTTTCAGATCAATACGTGGTAATAGCGTTATTCTTAACGGAACGCAGGCTAACCTGCTCAGAGTGCGCCATGCATATGACTCGCGAATGCATTAAAATGTATAAATTCCACATGCCTATTTATTCGACTTTTACCCGCATTTTGACAAGGCCGGCAAAACGCAAGCTACAATTTGAAAGCACGGGGAACGCCACTTGAAAATTGGTTCTAGGAAGCAATCCTTGCAATCATTGCGTCTTTGACAAGCGGTGTAAGTAAAGTTGGCCCTAGGAGGGTCTCTCAAGAGCGCTTCAGCCAGAATGAATGCTGTTCCCTTCAGGGACCTTAATATCATTGGCAGGGTGTCCCAATATTGTGGGCTCAAAAATTCAAAATCTTACCGCAAAAGTAATCGATTATTTTACTTTATTTGCTGCTGATTTGCAGTAAGGACTTCTTGTAATCTGTTTTATTGTTGTGGTGAAACGCTTACCATATGCTAGCACCGAGCAGCACGTCATAGCCATCATTTTCACCAGTTCCGCACCCACTTCATTTCCCAATGTGGTCATTGAGCCAAAGTACAGTCTGTCGAGTTCGCATCACAGTCTTGAGTCACTGGAAGCAGCAGTGAAGAAGGCCTCCGAAGAAATAGACGAGGAGTATGTACCTATGCGCTAAGCCCAAGAAGCGACTCCAAGTTTTAAGTCGTCGAATGCAGACCATTTCAAAATCTGGTTGTTCCCTATTGTTGTACATGACGCCTATGAATATATAGAGGGGGGGGGGGGGGGGCGGGAGCAAAAAAAGTCACTTCGCCCATGGCGCACATCATCAAATTTTCGTCGCACAGGATGCCGTTGTTGATGAATTTTACGGCAGAATATTCCTTAGGTGTCCCCCATAAGCAGAAGCAGGCCCTCCTTCACTGCCCCCACCGTCTTCAGAATATGACGTCATCTGCCGTCACCGTCGAGCTCAACGAGGCTTACCGTAATCGCTCCGGCCTGAAGCTGCTACATAATTTCTTCAATGGATTAACTGGTGAATAGCTTTTCAGAGACACTAGCTGTGACTGTGCAAGACCGCTTTTGACCAGCGTTTCAGGGACGTCGTAATGGTCTATGGTACCTCGACGACCTCGTTGAGCTCGTACCGTGAACCATGTTTCCGTGGGAAAATCTGATGTCGTCGGTGTAGAAGGCTGTTGTGTAACTTTGATAGATTATAATGTGCTCTTCAATATTCAGTTGGGCTCATTTGGTTTGGTTTCGCAACGCGTAAATAATTCCGTTTTGAATGTGAGTGAAGTGACTTTTTTTGCCCCCCCCTGTATATGGATTCACCCAGTGTTCTCCGGTTGAAAGCTTTAAATATGTATGTAGCTGTGTATAGACGCTCATAATTTGTGGGACATCCTGTATGATATTAGCTGTGCTATTCCTGATAAGTTACCCGAGGTTTCAACAAGTGAGCGTGGAAGAATTCGAGTCTTTTCGAATTCCAAAAAAGGATTCCAAAATGGGGATACCGAAATAGTGGAGTAGTGATAACTGCCTCACCCACTACAGGATTTGTCCGAGATAATGGGTGAAAATGACAAATTCCAATAAGTAATTTTCTTTTCAATTCGTATGTTTTTGTGAAAATGATACCCTAAATGGGGAACAATATTCCAGAAGAGAGCCTATGTTTGCACAACGTCTCCCGATCCATAGATATCTGTGTTTATATAAGTTACATATTACCGAAATCGGGAATATAAGGGAAGCGGTTGAAGAGGTGGCAGACCGTGCATTGCAATGCCTTTCCAGCTAAGTCTTCACCTTCTGAGCGTTAGCCTCTACCCTTCCTCTTGCCTGTTCCTTCATTTCTTCCTCAATTTCACTCAGGTTATCCTATTATAAAAATAAGTTTCACAGGATGAAACTACTTATACTGCTCCTCTTTGCTGCAACGGCGGCTCACGCATGGAGGGAGCTCTTCCATCCACCATTCCTGAAGGGTCTCAGACGGACTGCTCGAGACGAGTACTATAAGATCCTTTTCAACAAGTCATTGACAATCGCTGAGCAGAAGGAGCAGATCATGGCCTGGGCAAAGAAATACAACATTCAGGTATGACCACGATTAGCCGTGCTCTCGAAATTAGAGAAAAGGTTACGGTTTTTCAGGGACCAGTACAGACTTTCTTCGATAAGAAGGCGAAGTACACAGAAGGTTGCGGTTTCTTCAGGGACCAGTACAGGCTTTCTTCGATAAGAAGGCGAAGTACACAGAAGAAATGATGCAGAATTTCACGGCTCTTGTCAATGAGTTGCCAAAAGCTGTCGCAAACCTGACCAAAATAATGGAGAACAAAAACCAGACGTTTTGGGAATGATGAAGGCCGTACACGAGTTGAAGGCCAAAAATCCAGCGGTGAGAAGTCTACTAGCATATGATTTTAGAGCTGCCTAAATATTTCCATGAGCCTCTTAATCATTTGGCTTTGGATTAGGAAAAATTCGGAGTTTTCAGGTTTACAGTGTGCTGAAGTTTGCCATGGAAGAGTCTATGCATGAACATGGTCCACATGGTGACCATCCTTTTGGTCCACCTCCTCCACCATTTCCACCACATGATGGTCCGTCGACCGTGGCACGGACCCTGGGGCCAGCCTTGGGAGAGGAACTGGGGCCAGCCTTGGGAGAGGAACTGGAACGACGGCCCTTCGGGTGGATGGCCTAGAGGAGGACAAAACGGTGGGCCTCCCGGTGGATGGCCTAGAGGAGGACAAAGCGGCGGCCCTCCAGGTGGATGGCCCATTGGAGGACAAAACGGTGGACCTCCCGGTGGTTGGCCGATGGGAGGAGAAGAAGGCGATTTCGGTCCATTTGACCCATGGCAGAATGGATTTCGTCCGGATGGCCCTGAAGAATTCGGGCCAGGTCAAGGTATGTTACAATACCAGAATGTTAACTTTGCTATAACAAGTTTGTTCAGTTAATGTTCGAGATCCGTAGAAGTAGTAACCTTTCATTGGTGTGTTTCAGGATTCTGAGAAGGTCAGCGCAGAAAGGATAGTCTAGCATGTGATTGCTAAACCCTCAACTGACCAACAGCAAGCCGATCACTCAAATAAAATTTTGAAAATCTAACATGCTTTGTCGTTGCAAAACACTCTTACTGAGACTTACAACGATTGTTCAATAACTGGTTAAGTCACAGGTTTCTTCATAAATGCGTAGGATCCCTCAATGGTCCGTGTAAATGGGGAAAAGATAGCCCAGACGTATCTGAAATCCTTCCACACATTCCGCAGCCATCCTTCTAACCTTACGATCGACTAGAAACATGTAATAAAAATATGATGTAATACATAATATAATATAATATATATGATATAAAATATAGTATGTATTCATATAATAAAACAACAACACAAATAATAGATCGACTAAAATCAGAAGGAACAAGAAAATGAACCATAGTTTGTGGTTCCTGGATATGCCTCCATATCATGCAAAAGACCGTTTTGAAAAATCGGCATCCCTTAGCACCTTCCTGGTCAGTGCTGCTTTATCGTTGGCTACCTCAGGTTCAGGGGAACGCCGAATTGTGGGGTTACCCACAAAATCCTGCAGCAATTTGAACAGACTTCTTTAAAAATGAACCAAAATTGATTTCAGCCACTTCCAACATTGATCACTGGTTATCATTTGGTTAGTTTTCAACAAAACGAAACAATCACGCAGCAAATAAAAAAATGAAAATGTTCGAACAATTAGCTCAGATATGAAGCTCTTGCCATAGTAGGAAGCTGAATTGAAGTTTTGACATGTTAACTACTATTTTTCTAAGGTTCAACGGCCTCAAAGCGGATGCGGGACGTTTGGCTCGTCCGGGCTGGTACGCGGCGAGTTGCGCGGCGATCCAGACGAGGCAGGACTTCGCGCTTTCTGCAATAGAATTCAACACGTCAAAGCTTGTGCAGATTGCTGATCAACTCCGCATGGTTATGAAAAAAAAACTTTTTGCACGCGGGGATTTGAATGCAGGAGATTTCAGCGCAAACGGCGAGAGAGAACCTTCATAGGAATGTTGCAGTTATCATCAAACCGAAAAGCAACACTAACATTAGTTTCACAAGAATGCTGGGTTGTGTACAAAACTTTCGCCCCAGGCGGGACCAGATCCCGCACCACTCGCTTTCCGGGCAAATGCGCTACTTGTGAATCATTCGCAAGGCGAACTGCGACCCAAAACAGCAGTTAGGAAACAAAGAAAAGTCAAAATCACTAACATTAGTAGTTCTTACTGACATAGAGTTCCTTATTATCAACCAGATTGGTCCCCCGGCAACCACCGGGACCTCCTTACCTGCGTAAGCTTTACTCCTTCCAATGTGCTCCCATCCACTGGTGACATGGACACCTCGTGGAGGTGGCACGCATGCACAAAAAAGTGTCTTATATAGTAGAAGGCATTACCGTAATCGTGACATGACCTTAGAATGATATTAATTGGACCTCAGGTCTTTTGGCGGTTAGCTCCCCTCGCCCTTCTCCATCTTATCCTATTCCCTCTACTGCTCTCCAGCTGCTATTGCAGCATCATGTGGAATGAATGAGACCATGCTCAGTAGGTGTTTATATAGCCGTTGGGGTGTTATCACATTGATAGCACTGCAAAACATTGATTGCTAAAGTCATAGTTACTCGATTTTGTTAACGGTCTGTTTACTTCACGAGTTTCCCTACCACTTCATTTTGCGGACGGACACACATACATACATACATACATACACACACACATACAGACATACAAACCGACACACAAAGTTAGCGCTTTATAAAATAGAAGGAATTACATCATGTTTGCTAATGCGACACTCATAGTCCCATAAGAGAAACATTCAATTAGGGGAAGATGTGTGATGACAAATAGGATTAAGCCCAGAGAAATGGTCCATGATCCAGTCTTTCTGGTGAAACTTGGGCATTCGCCGAACGTTTCGTGTCTTGCTTCTGTTCTGCCTAAGCCCAAGGAGTTGAGAACGCCAAGAGGAACACAGTCTGCTCACATCTTCCCTCAAAATCCCTTTCCTTCTTGAGGCTCAGTTCCATGCACAGCACTTGGCTCGCTCACTTGAATGTCCTCATCAACACCCACCCCCACCGAGGACATAAGCGCATTATCGCTATGTTCCTTCTCTCTTTTCGAACTGAACTTTCCTAACAATCATCAGCATCCTAGCAGCCCACTTGCCACTACACCACTTCACGACGAGCGGTACTGGACATTACTGTTCCTGCACGAATCTCAGTCCGGATGTTCGTCAGCATTGTATAATATGCCTGGAAGCGGTGCTCGAGTCGGAAGAGTAGGAAAGAAAACGATGGGCGTGAAGGTTCTGCACCTGACTACATTCCCCCGATCTGGCTGCCTCAATCGCGTTCCTCTGTCTTGGTCGCCACCCGTCCATGGGTGAAAATCGGCCAAACGAGGGGTCCCGCCTCTTGACGGGTTACTCTGCCATAGGAGTTCCATAAAGCACTTACTTAGCACTCACATATGAGTCGATTAACGATTAGCAGGCGCTTAAATCCGGTAGAAGCCATAGGCAACTCGCCTGTATGACCAGTAAGTTTCGAACTAACATGATGTCACGTATATGATATTATTTGACCCTTTGCAAATATTTTGAAACCTTCATGCTCCGCAACGCTGAAACAATGGAAGAAGATCCACAAAACGACCACATATAAATTATGTTATGAAATAATCAGCGGCACGTTTTTGCCTGTCTTTGTCACCCATGCGTCAGCAAGGAGGGAAACCAGGTGAATCAATCAGTTCGTCATTCGGGGAAAACAGTTTCCAAGATCAATACGTGTTAATAGCGATTATTAGCGGAACACAGGCCAACCTGTTCGGAGTGCGCCATGCAGTTGACTCGCAGATGCATTGCAATGCTTACAGATCCTGCATCATTATTTATCCAAATTTTTACCAGCTGTCGGTAATGCCTGCAACGCAGTTTACAATTTACAAGCAAAGGGAATCCCAGTTATTTGAAAAGATGTTTTAGGAAATAATCCTTGCAATCATTGCGTTTATGACAGGCGGTGTGAGTAATTTTGGTCCTAGAAGGGTTTTTCAAGAGCGCTTCTACAGACGTAGCCTGAGGCTACACGCTATTCCTCTCGGAGGTCGCAAATAATCACTGATTCCTTGACAACTTTTATACATGGTTGGTGTGACTGGGGTATTCATCAGCCGGCCTGTCAACCTGGGCCTGACGCTGGTACTAGAACCATTTTTGCAATTTTTGCAAGGCATGGTTTAGAGCCTCGGCAGGGATCGAACTCGCGGTTTTTCAGAGGTGCAGACATGAGTCTAACCTCTTAACCACTCGGCCATCCCTGCCGGAGGTCGCAAATAATATTATTTCATTATTATAGCGATGTTGTTATGTTTGCGACAGGTTAGCTGAGGTGTCAGCCAATAAGTGTGGAGGATTCCAAATCCCCTCCAAGTGTTCCTAAAAGGCTTTCTGAAATGAGGACATTGAAGTAACGAAGTGATGATGACTGCTATACCCATGTATTTTTCGTGGTCTTTCTTTTATCCTTTCTTTCTTTCTCGACCGCTGTACCCGGCCGCATCAGCAGGTCGCACATCTTTACAGCTTCTTTGCTTCGGGCAGATCTGAGCCGCTGTTGGAAGTACAACTTTAAGAGAGGCTCAGTTATTGTGGACAGCCTGCCATGGCCTTGCTTTTTTTCGAGATAACGGCCGAAAAGTGACCAATTCTGAGAGGTAGTTTCAATTTTTGGTCCATATTTTATGAAAACAATGCCCCATACGAGGAACAATGGTTCCAAAAAACCCATATTTGCGTAACGTCACCCAATCCATAGATATTGTTTCTATATGTCACGTATTACCGATATCGGGAATATAAGGGAAGCGGATGAAGGGGTGGCAAGCCGTGCGATGCGCTGGATTTTTAGCTAACTCACCCTCGGAGCGCTAATCTCTACCCTTCCTCTTGCTTAATCGTCTTTTCTTCCTCAATCCCACTACAATTATCCTATTATAAAAACTAGTCTTACAGGATGAAACTACTTATACTCCTCCTCTTTGCTGCTACAGCGGCTCATGCATGGGAAGAGATTTTCCATCCACCATTCCTGAAGGGTCTCCGCAGGACTGCTCGAGACGAGTACTATAAAATCCTTTTCAACAAATCATTGACAATGGCTCAGCAGGAGAAGCGGATCATTGCCTGGGCAAAGAAACATCACGTTGAGGTATGTGAATAGCCCTGCTCTCGAAATTCGAGAAAACGGTGCGGTATTTTAGAGACAAGCACTCGCTTTCTTCACTAAGAAGGCGCAGCACATGGAAGAAATGACGCGGAAATTCACGATGCTGATCAATGAATTGCCAAAAGCTGTCGCACATCTGACCAAAATAATAGGGAACAAAAAACAGACGTTCCTAGAAATGATGAAGACCATACACGAGTTGAAGGCCAAAAATCCAGTGGTGAGAAGGCTTCTTCTATGTTGAACTGTGGCTTTAGAGCCACCGAAAGTTAGGATTCTTTGATTTGCTTTGGCTAAGAATTAGAAAGCGATTCAACATTTTTCAGGTTTACAGAATTCTGAAGTTTGCCATGGAAGAGTCTGTGCATGATTATGGTGCACACGACCATCCTTTTGTTCTACCTGATCCACCATTTCCACCACATGATGGTCCTCTACCTTGGCACGGAACCTGGGGTCAGCCTTGGGAGAGGGACTGGAACGGCGGCCTTCCAGGTGGATGGCCCAATGGAGGACAAAACGGTGGACTCGGTGGATGGCCGATGGGAGGAGAAAATGACGGACATTTTCCCGGTGGATGGCCTAGGAGAGGACAAAACGGTGGACCTTCCGGTGGATGGCCGATGGGAGAAGAAGACCAAAGTGGTTCATTTGGTCCATGGCAGAAGAGGCGCTTCGGTGGATTCCATCCAAATGGCCCGGAAGAGTTCGGACCACGTCCAAGTACGTGTAAAATACCAGAGTGTTAACGTAGCTGTGACAAGTTTCTTTTGTACCTGTTGTGTATCCGACAAACTAACCTATCACTGGTGTGTTTCAGGATTCTGAGAAGGCGGTATCAGTGCGGCAAAGGATAGTTTAGCATGTGATTGCTAAACCCTCAACTGGCCAACTGCGAACTGATTACTCAACACAAATAAAAGTTTAAAAATCTACCATATTTTGCTCCTTTTACTAAGAACAGTATTTTTGCTTCTGTGCCAAACATGACTGGCTAGGCGGAACCTTTATTTAGCCTAACGTTTCGACAAATTCGTCGTTATCAGAGGTCTGAATGCGTTTCGGAACTTCAAGTGTTACCTATCCGCTCAACACAATTGCACATGCAGCCAAGTGTTACTCATGCTAATTAAAGGCGCAACCCAGGCTGAGGTCGTGTGAACGCTTCTCTTCGGTCTGGAGTATAGACCCCTAGAGAACAATCACAAATGTGGCGTTATCGTGCGCGGAAACCGACCGATAAGAGCACTTGGGCCTTTTGCTTAAGCTGCCAAGCTGCAGACTTTCTATCTCTTCATGCGTGTCGCAAGTGCTCAGTGCGGCCTCAACTTTCTGAAGCGCATCGGGCCCCCGGGGGTCATCCGTCGTCAGCGTGTGAACGAAGAGACAGATTCCGCTAAATACAAAATACATTACACCCGGGAAAAAAACCCCGTATAATTTTTGGCTCTGATCTTGAATCTGGTTTCCGAATCTGCGCAGTAATTTCTGAAGAAAGTTATATAGCAGAATAGAGTAGGGGTGATGGTCCAGGCTTTACGGGTGAAAGGTCGCAGGATCGATCCCTGGTGGGAGTTTTTTCTACAAGTTTGCATCTGAGGTAATTTTCATCTCCGTATTTCGAAAACAAATCCATCTGCTGCAAAAACTCTGTCAACGGTTCTGCGGGCTTCATGGGCACTCTTTAGGAAGTAGCGCCCAAATTCCTAAGAACTTCTTGCAAACTCTTTATAGGAATAGCTACAGGCGAGTCGATCAAGCAGTGTACAGTACTCGCCGTTTGAAATCGAACATTCACGCGAATAACGAATCCTCGTTAATCTTTCAAAATTGAGCTTTCGAGAATCCGAAGATATCTTTGAATTCAGCTCGTCGGACACTATAAGAATGTGCTTTGATACTTTGGAAAAGCTCCATATAGGATTGCGCCATGCACTCGATTTTCATCTCAAAAAGTAGTTGCTCGCATGTGATGTGTATATAATCCCGCTTATGCGGGCTGACCGCTACACACAGAGAAGGGCCTCAAAACTTACCCCAGAATGCGCACAGACAGCAAAAATGGCGCGGTCGTCAACGTGTTAAACAACAAAGAAGGTGGTTTCAAGATCAAGGAAGTTTCGAGTCAGAAGTGACATTTCTCATGTTCGTCTTTACTTTTGTTGCAATTAGCACTACGTCAGTTGTAGCCCTTCACGAATGGAGTAAAGTGAATTTTTTTTCTGCGCAAGGGACCAGTTCCTTCGGCTGAGGAGCTTTCATGATGTGCTAACTCAACTTGACCCAACAACATCCTGAAGCTATTTTCCCTCCTGCACTCAGAAGATTTTCGACACAGTGCTGCTCCATGCGTTCGGCATCTTTTCTCAGACATAAGGGGGCACAGGAACAGTTTCAATAAATGCACCGTAACCTTATCTCGATATGGGAGCACTGCTGTTAAGGCCAGCACAAGAACGTTATCGAATAACGTTCTTGTGCTGGAATGCATGGGGTAGCAGCACTGTTGTCTAAATCTTCTGAGTGAGAGGGAAATAGCACTTCAGGATGTTGTTGGGTCAAGTTGAGTTCGCGCATCATGAAGCTTCCTCAGCCGAAGGAACTGGTCCCTTGCGCAGAAAAAAAATTTACTCCATTCGTGAAGGGCTACAACTGACGTAGTGCTAATTGCAACAAAAGTAAAGACGAACATGAGAAATGTCACTTCTGACTCGAAACTTCCTTGATCTTGAGACCACTTTCTATGTTGTTTAACACGTTGACGACCGCGCTATTTTTCGCTGTCTGGCGTGTGGGACCGCGCGCATTATTTTGACCGCGCGAGTGTGACATGGCATCATGTCAAACGGTCCCACGAGAACTCCTTTTTCTCAGGAAGTGTGTATTTGTTATCTTTCTTGTGTCTCCGATTATGCGATTTTGGCCATTTTAGCGATTCCTGTGATTTGATCATTATTCAAACATTTTTAGAAAAACTCGATAGCCCATCAACCGAAGCTTCTTTCCAGGGACCACGCCTTTTGTAACAATGCCTAAGTATGGCGCATACATCACGTAAATAAGTTACCTAAAATGTTTGAAAACCAGCTTAAAAAAGACTGTGACATGACATCATGTCACACGGTCCCACGTGGCCGAAAGAGTGTGGTATGACATCATACCACACGGTCGTCAACGTGTTAAAATTCATGTGTTCCCATTCCTTTATCCGATTCCTTTATGTCTCCGTGAATCGTTTCACGATCTCTTGCAAATCGTATGATTTTACGTTCTCTGTAACTGGAATGTGATGGCACACAATTTTCATAACCAAATTCTGGATTCCGAGTTCTAGATTCGCAAGATCATCTGCAAAATTCAAAATGGGCCTCGATTTGTGCGATTGAAGAGTGAAAGAGAAGCATCTACTGGAATTCCTCCGAAAAATTCATATTAGGGAAGCTGAGGAACACTGAGGTTGTATATTCTTTTTATGGAATTGCGTTGATCGCTATATGGGGAACAATTCATCTGCTGGAAAATGAAAACGAAATCCTAAGTTTGAAGGCTAATTATCGCTGTGATTTCTCATCACCACAGGAGTGCTGAGTTATGGTAAAAACTCTTCGACTCAAGCGGCAATCGAACCCACAAGTCTTGATTTGTGAACAGTCGTGCTACCAGTAGTACCACCGAGGCACCGTGTCACTTAGTTCGGGCTCAGACCCACTCAGTGAGCCTTTACGGTGGCTAGAAGCGCTGGGTACGCAAGTGTAGAGGTCGCGTCACTTCCCTACTTCGAAAAGCGTTACTTAGACGCTAGGCGCTAAGAACTTTGACACGCTCCACCTGTTGCGACACGCTCCGCCCACCGCTCGATATCTTGTCTGCGTCGCAATGTTGATGCTCTCTCTACTCGGACTTCTCTACCGCTCTCCGCGCTCACATTATCTCTCATCTCCCTGCCGGCCTTTTGAACTTCGCAGCGTAGAGCAAAAGGCTCGTATTTCCTGTGTATTTCACGATTTTTTCCTTTTTCTCCACTGGCGGTCCACCTCCTACCCCTACTTTCACATTTGAGTGGAATTACCTCATCAATTTGATCCTGAATCTTGCCTTAAGCCCAGCTCTTGCCTTTGGTTCGATGTGCTTGGGTAGGGTTCTCTCTTTTTCTTCTGTATCAGTTGCAGATTTTGCAGCAGCGCTATGGGAATGTGCAAACGATCGCAGTAATAAAATAAATGATTGCGCTTCCAAGCAAAATGAAAGCAAAATATAAGAAGCAAAATGGTTCGCGGCGTCTTTAATGCCCTTTGAGCCACCCATCAGCGATCGCTGTGGCCCTTCACCTGGCCATACTGTCATACAGATTTTTTTATGACCTAATTTCTGGTTTGCGCACTGCACAAACTCGTTTCAGCACTTGTTGTGTGAATTTTCAGGGACTGCGCAACCCGAAATGCGAGCTGTGGTTCTTTTGACCATAATTTGTGGAGCCGTTGGGCAGACAGACTGGTCAAGTTTCAACGGCTACTACTACAAGGTTGTCTTTTTGTTTCGTTTTTCCCTAATTCACAGTAGAGCGAGTTGATAATTTGCCTCCTTAACTAGGCTGAACCAAGAGCTCGTTCCACAGACCTGAGTGTCAGCCGTCCATCGGGCATTTGGCAATAAGGGGGAGTTTTTGCGATGCGATAGTTGAACGACGAGGCACAATAGTTGAAGTAGAAGTTGAACGTCTTGGAGATGAAGGTGGGCTGAACGGTGGGCCACCGAATTACCGACGGTGTCGCACCACGGCATTCTCCCAAATTTGCTCAGCACAGTGGCTGATAATGCCTGAATGTGAACATGGCAGCGGTTACATCTGCACACACAGTCGGCTTCAAAGCTGTGACATCTTGACACCTTATCAACTTGACGAAATTGCAGAAGAATAACCTAGGATTGGATGAAACTTCTAGAATACACAGCAAAAATCTCCTACACTAGTGCGGAGGCTGTAGCCCCACAGAAGAAAAATTTTTGGCATGTGACCTCGAATCACGGGCCAATTTTGGGGGATATCGAGGACTAAGCAGAGCTACGGTAGGTGCTTCAGCAGTACATCTGCTCAATAGCTTCTGTGTCTCGAAATTCGGGAGGATATGGTAACATTCGGTCAGGTGGCCATGAATTTCTTTGAACCTTTCAGGCTCGAAAGCAGTACTTCCGGAAATTAAGCAACTGTTGGTTATTTTTCAACCTTGTGAAGAGTTTCAGAGAAAAATTCACAGAAAAATAAAGGATAAGAGTTCTTCTCAAAAACGGAGATGCGCCTAACCCGGGCCAAATTGACAACGATAGGATGCTTCAGCTACAAGACAGCCGTTTTTCAGTTTCGAAATAATAATCACTGATGATGAATTCGTTCAGGTAATTAACAAAGGCTGCTCATTTTCTCGATGCTGAATCCATTTGCATTTCTGAGGGCGGACACCTTGCTTCCATTCACAGCAAAGCGGAAAACGATTTCGTTTTTGGTACGCAATTATTCTGCTCACACAACTAAAAGGATCACGTTTTAGTTACCAAAATATAGGGGTTATGGGAAGAACGAAACAAGTAAACTGCCCTCTGAAAAACGGAGAGAAGAGCGAATCCAAAATGATGAGGCTTATGCAATGCTCTCTCTTTGACGATGTGCCCCTCTCTCTTCGTGCAATCATCCCTGCTTAACTGGAAGAGGGGGAAGGAACATTCTGTAAGATTCGCCATCGTTCAGGTGCTTCGAAGACCATTCCCTATTGAACCTTTTCGACACATTGAGAGCAGCACTCCTCCCAAGGAAACAGTAGAAAGGGCATCTACAGTAAGCCGCGGCGTAGCCGGGCGACGG